AAAAAAAAAAAGCAGTTAGAAAAAATATATTTGGCCGGATTCGGTGGCTCATGCCTGTAATCCCAGCACTTTGGGAGGCCAAGGTGGGTGGATCTTGAGGTCAGGAAATCAAAACCATCCTGGCCAACATGGTGAAACTCCATCTCTACTAAAATTCAAAAATTAGATGGGCATGGTGGTGTGTACCTTAAACTCCAACAATTCAGGAGGCTGAGACAGGAGAATCACCTGAACCCAGGAGGTGGAGGTTGCAGTGAGCCGAGATTGCACCACTGTACTCCAGCCTGGCAACAGAGCAAGAGTCAATCTCAAAAAAAAAAAAAAAGAGTTATAAATTTCAAATATCTTCTCCCATCTGTGATTCAACTTCTTTATTGTGTTTTTTATAAAAACCTTTGATGTTTTAAAACATCGATATTTTTGTATCTCATGAATAAATCATCTCTACCCTGATATTATGAAGATATTTTCCTGTCATAAAATATTTTTATAGTTTTGCCTTTCAGTTTTTAATACATTGAAAATAATTTTTGCAAGGCACAGTGGCTCGCATCTGCCCTCCAGCTACTTGGAAGATTGAGGAGGGAATATCCTTTGAGTCCAGGAGTTCAGATCAGACTGTGAAACATAGTGAGACCCCATCTCAAAACAAAATAAACAAGAAAAAAATTTAATTTTTATTTATGGGGTGAGTAAAAAATCATGTTTCTTTTTAAAAATCTACATTTATGCCAATCATTTAGAAATTTTAGATTCAGCTTATCAAATTCCATAGAAAATCCTATTGCAATTCTGACTAGAACAGTGTTGAATCTCAACAGAATTCATTTAGGAGAGAATTGAAATCTTTATGATATTGAGTCTTATTAACCAAGATCATTTATTTAGATTATTTTTAACCTCTTTAAATAAATTGTTAAACTTTTCTCCATAAAGACCTTTTTGTTGTTGCAAGTGGAATCATTTAAGAATATGTGTTGTAGGCATTTTTTTTTTTTTTTTTTTTTTTTTGAGACAGAGTCTTGCTCCGTCGCCAGGCGCCAGGCGCCAGGCTGGAGTGCAGTGCCGCGATCTCTGCTCACTGCAACCTCCGCCTCCCGGATTCAAGCAATTCTCCTGCCTCAGCCTCCCGAGTAGCTGGGACTACAGGCGCGTGCACCATGCCCAGCTAATTTTTGTATTTTTTTAGTAGAGACGGGGTTTCACCATGTTGGCCAAGATGGTCTCGATCTCTTGACCTCGTGATCCGCCCTCCTCAGTCTCCCAAAGTGCTGGGATTACAGGCGTGAGCCACTGCGCCCGGCCAGTCCAGTGGTTTTTCAAACAATTTGTAGCTATTTTTATAAACAAAAGCTTTATAAAAGAGAGCAATATCTGAAAAGTTCAGAATTGTACCAGTATAAAAGTATCCCTCCAACTCCATAGACCGTGGCCCCTGACAGACTTTCCAGAAACACACCAGGTTCCTCATAGCAGAGTTTAAGTGAAAATTATTGGTCAAGTGGATAAAATAGTAACTCATGATTTTACTCTAACAATAAACTCATAATTACGTTGATTCATCTTATGAAATTGAGGATTGGTTGCAAATGCTTACAGATATCAGGAAATCAAAGAAGAAAAATAAAGCAAATATATATTTATATAAATCAATTCAATATTTTAAATTTTTACTACTAATACAAAATAAAAAGAATTTTCATAAAGCACATAATCAGAAACCATAGTAGCTCAGTTAAATACTTTCTATACAATCTATATCCATTCAGAAGTGAAACAGCAAGCTAGTAATTGTTTTAACATGTTTTTGAATATGAAATATATATACATATATTATATATAACGGTACTACATTCTAAAACATCTGCACTGACATGAATATAGTGTATAAAAATGAATGTTGGAGAGAAAATATAATCTTAAAATTAAAAGGGAAAGCTGTACTTTTTGAATTTCTAGTCCCTCTTGTGACACAATAATGGTATGACATGGCTTATATTATATTGCATTTAAATGGAAAATAAGCCACCTTTTCCATTCCATAAGTAGTTTAAGGATATACAATATCTATCAAACTAATATAATGACAATGATTAGATTGTTTATTTTAAATGCAATTTTAATTTAACACTAAAATCTAAACTTCCTATGTGAAACAGGATTTTCTTGAACATTTATAATCTTGGATAATTCCATTTCTAAAGGTTTTTACATTAAAAAAAAAAA